TAGTTCTAATAGTTATTATAAAAACACAAGAACATAAAACATTACATACAAGTTAATTGTAATTCTATTTCTTACTATGGTGTCCATTCTTAATAATCTACAAAGTATAAAACAAAGTCGCTATCCGCCGTCTGTCTGTCCCTATGTATGCTTAGATCTTTAAAACTACACATCGGATTTTGATGCGGTTTTTTTTAATAGATAGAGTGATTCTTAAGGACGGTTTATATTATGTATAATAATTACATACTGCACCGTGCGAAGTCGAAACGGGTCGCTAGTTATTTCATAAACTATCATAACATCACGTGTTTTATCCCCGAAGGAGTAGGCTGAGGTGCACGTTACGGTAATTAATGCCACTGTACAATGTAACACTCACTTTTCACTATTAGCGGACTAGACAGACGTTGTCCTGCCTATCCACTTGAATGTATAAACAAAAATTCATTCAAATTAATTCAGCCGTTTAGGACAACTAACCTAGACATCAACTGCAGCGCCATCTGCCGGGCTGGTTTGTGAATCTAAACCATTCCCAGATCCCCTTGAACACACACAAAAAATTCATCAAAATCGGTCCAGTCGTTTGAAAGAAGTTCAGTGACATACACAGAAGAATTAAATAAAAAAAGATTATTATTATAAGTTCATTAATTAGATTACATTTTCCTTTATATTTTTCCTAAACCGGGTTTCATGTTGATACTGCACCCAATTATATAACATCTATTGGACACATTATATAATGCAATAATATTTTGAATTTGAATTTGATATTCCTATTAATATTTTTACCTAAGTGTCATAAACATTTTTTTCTGAAAACCGTATTAGAAATCGATTAAGACAATAAAGAGATAATCTCGCTCAAACTTAGGTACATAGGTACATACAGGTCTAACTGGAAACATCCTTTTATTGTGGTCGGTAATAAATTGGTAAAAGATAACAGTATAAAACATTTAGGCTTTTAAGACAATTTTTGTGGTCGGTTAAAAAGCAATTACTTATCAACATAGATAAAAGTTCACCTAATCATTCGATAGATGGCGTTATGAGTTATGAGCGAATGTTCCCCAATTGCGACGGCATGCTAGAATACTTGCGATTCTTCTCACATACCTTTTTGTTGAGCGGGGAAAAGTCATCCAATGACTTCTCCTGCCTTGAGGAAGTACAGAGAGAGTGTCAGACTCACATAACGTCACGACTTTTATCCCTGAAGGTGTAGGTAGGGGTGCACACTACGGCACTGAATGCCACTGTACAATGTAACAACTACTTATCACTATTTATGTTATGAGTCCCATGTAATAGGGAGTGAGTCTATTGGCATACAATATCAAACTCCATTCGGTTATACGAAATTCGGAAAGAGTAATAAAAAAATAATAATCCTTCGCTCTAACACTGAATCTTACACTACTCCGCCCAACGAGGCATTCAAGAATATAATTAATTATTTGTAACATTAAATGAATTGTATATTTCATAGATTTTTCTTTGATATTCGCACATGACATAACATCACGCCTTTTATCCCCGAAGGGGTAGGCAGAGGTGCACATTATGCCACTGTACAATGTAACACCCACTTTTCACTTTTTATGTTATGAGTCCCATGTAATAGGGGGTGAACCTATTGCCATATACCGGGCACAATTCCAGACTCCGTGCTACTACTAAATTTTTTTTTAAACCCAGTAATACTTTGCCCGACCCGGGAATCGAGAACCCAGACCCCTTGCCCGGCAATCGCAATTGCGACCACTCGGCCAACGAGGCAGAGAGAAAATGACTGAAAAATTCTGTACATAATGACTTACTTAATATCCTGTGTCCCCTAGATGGGGCAGAGGTCGTCCACTGAAGTTCTCCATCGCGATCTGTCTTGAGCTTCACGCTTCACCTCACTCCACGTCATACCGATGCTCCTCGCTTCTGCCAGTACGGTGCGACGCCAGGTTTGCCGAGGACGGCCACGCTTTCTTTTCCCTTGGGGATTCCAATCCAAGGCTTGCTTGGGTATCCCTTCGGATTCGGTCAGGATCCCTTCGGAGCGTGTGCCCTATCCATCCCCACTTGCGGCGCTTGATCTGGCAGTCGATTGGGCTTTCATGGCATTTCTCTGTACATAATACTCTAAAGAAAAATAAGGTAAAATCATCACATTAATAATAAATCTTCAACGGTTTTTCCAACCGGAAAACCCATGAAAAATAATCAGCAAAGTTTTCCGCTTTTGTTGACAAAAAATAAATACAAAATTTCCAACCGATTACAAAAAAAATCTCACTTTATATTTATAACCTATGACTTAAAAAATAAATCACGAAAAAGAATCCCAAGAATATTAAAGTAAAAATTGATAATTATAATCGATGATTCACTTGTTTTCTTGTCTCTGTTTGTGCTTAGTTGAGAAAAATAGCGTTGTAATATGCCCGAGGTACGGCTGAAGTGAATGTACTGCAGTCGGGCGCACAAGCCCGTTCAGAAATCACGCGTCGCGGATTGGCCGAACGAAAATACCGAATAGTGCTTTCGTAATTTAAAAAAAATCGTGTAAATTAATTTTTGTTTTTTGTGATTTCATTTTTATTTTTTTGTGATTTATCTCCCTGATTGTGTGTGTGGATTTCTGGAATCTGTGGAACGTTTTTTTTGTTGCTGTTTTTTTTTGGAAAACGGATTTTTTAACAAATTCAGGTATTTAATTATTTTTGTTAATTATGTTTATTTTTTATTTGAAATATTGAATGAAACATCACAATGTGTAGTAATCAAAAATTAAAATGTCCCAATAAAATTACAACATAATTTTACGCCAAAATTATATTACAAATCGATAAAAATATACATATTAATAGCGTATAAAATTTATGCGGCCGAAAATTTACCGCGCGTCGAAATACCAACCGAAGTCGGTCGAATACCTATTTAGTTTAAAAATGGAGTAATCGGTAATTTTTTTAAGATCGTATTTGCATATTATGTTATGCATTATTATGTCATATTTATACTATTTGCTGCTATTCGCTTTCACTTATGGAAGGGGTGGGGGAATTTGGGCCAGTGTGCCACGAAAGTACCTACTGAGATGAACGATAAAGCGCTTTACTTGAGATTCACTTTCATTTTTCTTGCAATATACGCACGTGTACTAGGATTTTCATTTTAAATGAATTTAATTTTTTTTTGGAAAGAAATGTAACGGATTTTTTTGTTGGTATTTTTTGGGCGGGATTTTTATCATCATATATTTTTATTGGAAAAAACAATTTACACGATTAATGTTAACAACCATAAAATAATGTTTATTGACATAATAATTATGTATGCTAAAAATGTAATATAAAAAAATGGAGGTGATTAATTAATATAAATTTAATAGAATTATGTTATATAATTGTTGGACAAAATAATTAAAATTAGTATTCATATAGATCTTGTTGATAGATATTTTTATATTCAGTAATTTAAATAAAAAACATAGGTAATATCACGTTTTATGCCATTATTTTATTATTTAAATAAATACAACATAGATAACATTACGCCATTTTAATCCTCTAAGCGGACAGAGGTTATCAACTACAATGTAACACCCACTTTTCACTATTTATGTTATGAGTCCCATGTAATAGGGGGTGAGCCTATTGTCATACAGATACGTATTAGACAAATTTTTATTCCGGTTATTTTGTAAAAATAATCGATATTAACAATCTTTGGTCGACCCTACACCGTGAAATCTATTTCGTTTTCGTCCCGAAGTAAAATGGTTCTGTCTCGGCAATACAATAGTTTTACAAACAAATAAAATGTTTGAAACAATAAATAACTGGTGAACCATTGCATAAAGCAAACTTCGAAAGCGCATACGAACTCATAGTTTATTATCAAAACATCACGCCGTGTCATTCTCGAAGAGGTATTTCTCGTCGGGTGGCACGTGCGATGCGAATAGTGCCTGCAAATTTACGTCTAGTGTTTCATGTTCGTATTTCAATGAAAATTTGTTTTTAATTAAAAAAATATCTACGTCTTATTTTTTTTTTGTTTTCACTTTATACATCGAAAGTACTACTTATGGCGAGTTGTTTAGCCGCGGGACTGAAACGAAATAGATTTCACGGCATATAAGAACGATGTCTACAACAAATCAATTAATTTTAATAAGTGCAAAATGGCGATTATAAAATAAAATAAATAAAATATCAGAAAGGTCAGTATATTAGTTTACCTATATTAGTTTTTAAATAGTTTTATTTAGCTTACCCCATTTGTTTGTCTGGGTCTGTAGTAATTGTAATGTCACCCCCTTCCTGACGACAGATCGATCTGATATTTGGTACACTCTTAATGCCAATTTCTATAACACATCGTAATCCAAAATATGTGGATTAAGATCGATTTTTGACAGAAACTCCGTACAACTACTGTCAATAATCGATCTATATTGGACAGATTTTGGATTAAGATAGTTTATTGAAATTGGCAGTTAATCTTGATGACCATAGAAATTAATATATAAAATTCTTGTGTCACAGTTTTCGTGGCCATACTCTTCCGAAACGGCTTGACCGATTTTGATGATGTTTTTTGTGCTTATCCGGTACCTATGATAATCGGCCAACATCTATTTTTCATTCCCCTAAATGTTAGGTGTAGTCCACCTCTAAATGTTTTTCGAGATTGCGCGTACGAAGTCGCGTGCAGAATTATAGTATAATATAAATTCTTCTACAACTAACTCCATTATTGATATCAAACGAAAGGGCTTATTTAATGAACAGAGCTCCTTGGAATCGTTTAACTTAAATAAAGAATATTAATTTATTTAATGTTTTAGGTACTTGTAGCTTTAATACACATATACATTTTTATTTATTTACTAGCGGACCCAACAGACGTTGTCCTGCATATACACTTGAATATATAAACAAAAATTCATTCAAATTAGTTCAGCTGTTTAGGATAAATAACCTAATAACGACTGCAGCGCCATCTGCCGGGCTGATTAGAGAATCTAAACCATTCCCAGATCCCTTTGAACACACACAAAAAATTTCATCAAAATCGGTCCAGTCGTTTGAGAGAAGTTCAGTCAGTGACATACACACTCACAGAAAAATTATATATGTAAAGATTTGCACAACACGCAGACAATACACAGGAGAATACATACATTTTTATACACTTATTTAAATTAAAATTATTCAATAATAATTATATAAAAAAAATGACGTAATAGGAAATTTAAAAACTTTAAATAAAAATACAAAATTAATTCATCGTTTTTTTCCTAATACAAACATGTTCATTTATGCTTCGAAAAAAAAACTTGTTCATATTTTGTGTAACAAGTCGTTTTGATTTTTCTTAAATTAATACTATGCCTATTACTGATATTAATAGAATAATACATAACTACATAACATCACGCCTTTTTATCCCGAAGGGGTAGGCAAAGGTGGACATTATGCCACTGTACAATGTAACCCCCACTTTTCACTATTTATGCTACGAGTCCCATGTAATAGGGGGTGAGCCTATTGCCATATACTGGACACAATTCCAGACTCCGTGCTACTACTAAGAATTTTTTAAAAACCCAGTAATACTTTGCCCGACCCGGGAATCGAACCCGAGACCCCTTGCCCGGCAGTCACACTTGCGACCAATCGGCCCACGAGGCAGTCAGTAATAGAATAATAATAATAATAATAATACGTCAAACTAATGAGAAATACCTAATTATCTATATGAAACCCGTTTCCCGTTGTCACGCCATAACTTGAGAATGGCTGGACCGATTTGGCTGATCTTTTTTTTTGTTGTTTTTGTTATTGTTAGGACTGCAGGAGAAGATTTTTTTATGATAGAAAAATAAAATCTGAAAATCCTACGGAAACTGGAGAAAATGGGATTGTGCGTACGAAGTCCCGGGCGGAAGCTACAGTATTTAAATAAATAATCATTGCTTACTGCTACCCAAAGGCCTCTTCTTACACGGAGAAGGATTGAGCATTAATCACCACGCTTGCTCAATGCGGGTTAGCGATTTCAAACTTATAATTAGAAATTATAAGCCCAGGTTTCCTCACGATGTGTTCCTTCACCGTTTGTCAGTGGTGTCTAAATAATCTTAGAAAGTACATATAACTCGGAAAAAGTCACATTGGTACTTGCCGTTGGTAGGTTTCCAACTCGCACCCTCATGCATGAGAAGCGGGCATCTTAAACAATGAAAAGTGGGGTTGATATGGTAATGAAGAGCTCTGCCTATCTCTTTTTGAAATAAAGATTTGATATTAATTGTTTATCTCTGTAAACGTGATACAATGCTATCTTTTTTAAATTATCCATTGGACAAATTGATTAATTGACTAATTTTTTGATAAAACACATATTATACAATATAATAACGCATATAAATAGCCGTATTGGGACGGCAAGGTAAAATAAATTTGTCACCACCTCTACTCTTCCCGCGGGTGTCATATACCCGAAAACCGGACTACATTACATAGCATAAAATCACGCCTTTTTATCCCCGAAGAGGTATACAGTCCGGTCAACAGAAACAACCCACTTTTAACTATTTATGTTATGAGTCCCATGTAATAGGGAGTGAACCTATTGCCATATACCGGGCACAATTCCGGACTCCGTGCTACTACTGAGATGTTTTTTCTAAAACTTAGTAATACTTTTTTCGACCCGGGAATCGAACCCGACAACTCGAGACCTTGCCCGGCAGTCGCACTTGCGACCACTCGGCCCACGAGGCAGTCAGTTTTTATAAACTACGTTTAAGAAAACCGACTTCAATCCCCTCGTTTCTTGAAGTCGGTTAAATTCGTCTCCTAAGTGTAAACACACACTTTTCTGAACCGCATCAAAATCGATACAGCCAGTCGCGAGATAATCATGTACAATACTTACATACATAATAAACGTCAAACAGAGAACGTCTTTTTTTCTCTTTGAACATC